CCGCAGCGGCGGTTAGCGAGGTCACTACAGGTCAGAGTTCACGAGATCAAGGACTCGGAGTTTCGAGGTGTGCACAGCGTAGAGATGCCAGGTCCAGGTAGGGGCGTATGGGGGTAGATTCTTTAAGAAATTCCTTTAGATTTTAAAAGAAAACAACCCGGAGAAGGATATTGTGTGATGTCCAAAGAAACGCGACTTTCATTCATTTGCTGTTAGCGATCTGCCCTCCTCTGCTTCTCACCCTTGTGAGTCTCCCCAGTGCCCCGGAGATGTTGCCCACGCCCCTTCCATGCTTACCCCTCACTTAAGATTGAACCTGTATTTACTGTACTGTGAACCTCCTTTTCTGATCTCTGAATTTGTTTTTCAGTTCCTTATCTCCATACGTGCGCTGTGCTGCTTTTCATTTATCCATTCAGCATGTCTTCCCTCGCCTTCCCGTGCCAGGCCCTGTGTTGGAATTTGAGTGCCCAGCACTAAGCAGCATGGCTCAATTCTCGCTCTCAGAGTTCAGTGGGAAGACAGACACTTGCATAGGAAACGACCAAGTCAACAAGACATTTGAGGGGTAGTAGGGATGTGAAGACAAAAATCTGGGACCTGACGAGGAGTTGAAGAGACCTCTCTTTTGAGGAGAAAGGGATGAGCGGTTTCTCTTTTCAGTCAGTAAGGTACCTGGCTAGCCCTGTGGCGAGTGACCCAGGGGATACAGCAGTGCCCAGTCAGCGCTGTTCCTGTCCTCATGCAGCTGCCAGTAACAGCAGATGACAGTGATAGGCTCGAGTAATGATGCCGTGGTGCAAGGGCGCAGGGGTAGGGTGGGATGTTTAGGCGGGGTTGGGGACGGGATGAGGGGGCGCAGGCAGAGAAATCCATTGTGGGAGCCCAGAGGTGGCATCTGCGTGGGTTGTCAGTGCACATCCTGGAAGAGGGTACATGTAACCCAAGAGCAGTTACCTGGAAGGAGATTTGCAGCCAGAAGGTAAGGCAAGAAAAGAAATGGACAAAGGAGTATTGATTTAGAAGCTGTGCAAGTGCTCAGAAGGGAAGAAAAGCCCTGGATATTATGGTTAAGAGCTGGCGGGGTTGGTGCTTTCTGTGAAGGAGTGAGGAGGACATCAGAGCGGAAGCAGAGGCCTGAGTGCAGGCGCTTGAGGGAGGGAAGATATTCCAAGATGATAGCGTGGTGCTGCTGGTTCAGAAGCCTATGGGAGCACACATCCAGAGAGGAGGCCACTGGGGCTGGGGCAGAGATGGCTGGCAGGGCTGGTCACACAGGGCCTAGTAGGCATTTGGATTTGATTTTCAGTGGCCACTTCACTTGCACTTAAAAGGATTATACTGAGGCCAGGTTTGGTGGCTTATGCCTGTAATCCCAGCACTCAGGAGGCTGAAGCAGGAGGATCGCTGGGAGTTCAAAACCATCCTGGCTACACAGTGAGTTCCAGGGCAATCTGAACTACATAGTGAGACCCTGACTGAAACCTCCCCGCCCAAAAAAAAGGATGATAGGACTTGGCATGGTGGCCTGCATCTGTAATCCCAGCACTCAGGGAGGCTGAGGCAGGAAGTTCACTGCAAGTTCAAGGCCAGCTACATAGTGAGTTTAAGCCCAGCCTGAACTACATAGAAAGACCTTGTTTCAAAAAAAACCAATAACAAATAAATAAAAGGATCACAGAAAGCCAGACATGGTGTGGTATGCCTGTGATCCCAGCCCTCATGAGAGGTTCAGACAAGAGGATTGCAAGTTCAAGGCCAGCCTGGACTAAACAGGGAGACCCTGTTAAAAAAAAGAAAAATGCTGAGCATGGTGGCGCATACTCTCTGGAAGATTGAGGCAAGAGGATGGCATATTTGAGTCTAGCCTGGGCAATTTAGCAAGATTGTTTCAAAATTTAAAAATTTTTAAAAGGGATTGGGGCGTACTTCAGTACAGAGGCCCTGGGTTCAATCTTCATTACTGTTACAAAAAAATTAATAAGCCAGGTATGGTAGCACTTGCCTATAATCCAGCACTCACCTGTAATCCTAGCACTTGGGAGACTAAGGCAAAGGATTGCCACGAGTTTGAGGCCAGCCTGGGCTACCTGGTGAGTTCAAGGCCAGCCTGAACTATATAGCAAGACCCTGTCTCAAAACAAAACAGGGCCAGGGATTTAGCTCGGTTCCGCTGCCTGCCTCAAAAGCGCAAGGACCCACGTTCAATCCTGGTACTGAACAACAACAGCAAACAATATATATACATATATTAAAAGGATTACATGCTGCCCATTGAAGTGAAGGTTGGTGGGTCGAGGGATCAGGTAGGACATTTAAATCCAGTTAAATCCTTGACAGAGTCAAGGGTGGATCACACTGGGGTGTAGTGGGTGAGGACTAGCCAGCACTGATGTCAGACAGAGCGGAAGTGGGGGTCTGGAGCCTGAGGTAAGGGCCCTGGGACAGCTGGGGGATTCCAGGAAGGGGCCACACCTAGGTCTCTCGCTGGGAGACAAGTAATGACTCTAGGTGGACCCCAGAACCGGAGGCGAACCTGATGGTGAGAGCTCCCTGTAGGTGAAACTGCTGTAGGTGAGAGGTGGAAGACAAGGGTAAGGGTGCCAAACTGGGTTGCCTATTTGTGGGATCTGGAGAGTGGTCAGTTAGGAGACTATCAGCTTCCCACAGGCAGAAGACTTTGTCGCTTTGCTGGGTCTGCGGTGCCTGTTGTGGAACCCTCACGGCTGAGGGTGCCCAGTGCACATCTGTTGGGTCAGACAGGTAAGAGAAATAGGTGCCTACAGATGATTCAGAAGTAGAGAAGTCAGCCAGGTGTGGCAGTGCCACCCGTAATCCCAGCACTCAGGAGGCTGAGGAAGGAGGATCTGTAGTTTGAGGCTGGCCTGGACAAGGTAGCCAGGCTGTGTCTCCAAAAAATAAAAGAGAAAAGCAGAGACTCAGGTTGGTGTTAGGACCAGTAGCACCAAATGCTCTCATGGGCTTGATTCAGGTAAGAGAGAACAGTGGCTTCAGCCCTGATCTGTGGAGAGGCTTCTAGGAAGCTGGGTGACAGCAGAACTCAGTGTACTGAGGGCTGCCAGGCTGACAGGAACGAGGGAACCTTGCAGTGAATTTTTAGGAAGCCGCCCTTGGGCCAGAAGTGGGAGAAGGACAGGAAAGTGGCATGTGGGAGAGCAAGGCAGAACCAATGTTGTTTGCTTTGAGAATGAAAAGACCATTGTTTTTAGGCTATAAAAAAATTGAGGGGGTGGGATTTGGTGGCATAGGCCTATAATCCTAGAACTTGGGAGGCTGAGGCAGGAGGATCACCAGTCAGAGCCTAGCCTGGGCAACTCAGCAAACCCTGCCTCAAAACATTAAGAAAGGACTGGGGATGTAGCTCATTGTGAAGCCCATGGGTTCAATCTCCAGAGCCACGATGGTGGGGAAGCGGGTGCCAGAGAAGGCTGGGAGCTGTAAGTTGACAATTAGTGCGGTGGACTGGCTGCTTCCTGTGGGCTGAGTAGTTGGTGAGCATCACTTCGCCACCTTACAGTGCTGCCTAGCTGGACTCTGAACTCCACTACACGGAGAGCTGGGGCAGAGAGCCCTGGATGTGGGTAATTTGGTCTCTCCCCACCCCGGCAGATCTCACCCTGTCCCCTGCCCCCTGTGTGTGGCACATAGGAAGTTCTCAGAAAGGGTTTGCCTTGTCAGTGTTGCGTGATGCTCAGGAGCCGTTCCCTGAGCGCACACACAAACACACCCACGCGTGCGCGCACGCACAACGGAGAGCTGGGGCAGAGAGCCCTGGATGTGGGTAATTTGGTCTCTCCCCACCCCGGCAGATCTCACCCTGTCCCCTGCCCCCTGTGTGTGGCACATAGGAAGTTCTCAGAAAGGGTTTGCCTTGTCAGTGTTGCGTGATGCTCAGGAGCCGTTCCCTGAGCGCACACACAAACACACCCACGTGTGCGCGCACGCACACACACACACACACACACACGCACACACACACACAAACACCCTGCCTCCCCATCTCAACAGACAGCTGCCTCACTTCCCCAGCAGTCAAACCAGGACCTGGGATGGCAGCTATTTCCCCCAAACGCCGACGAACACGCCTCCCAGAGTCCTGTCCCTCCTCCCTGCGAGTGCTACCCAGAAACAGCCTGTCCCTGTGCCCCCATCCGAGCCACCTCAGCATCCGCCACTCTCCTTTCCCTGTTCCCTGCCATTTGCTTCCTCCATGAAGCCAGGGGAACTTCTGTGGGTTTGTTTGGTTTTGTTCTGTCTTGTTTGGGGCTTTTGTTTGTTTTTTGAGACAGGATCAGAGTATATACTTTTGACCTTGAATTTACTATGTAGCCCAGGCTGGCCTCATACTCAGGGTGATCCTCCTGCCTCAGCCTCCCAAGTGCTGGGATTACAGGTATGTGGCACCACACATGGCTTTTGTTTGGGTTTTGCTGTGCCTTCCACCTGCTGGGAAAGCAGTCTACCACTGAGCCACACCTCTAGCTCTGACCTTTTTACAAGCTCTTGAAACCTGGCTGTGCCTCATACCTGCATGATTTTTGTTTTGCTTTTGAAACAGGACTTGCTATGTAGTCCAAGCTGGCCTTGAACTCACTATGTTGTTCAGGGTAGCCTTTAACTCATGGTAATCCTCCTGCCTCAGCCTTACAAAAGCTGCCTGTGTGATTTTGAGAAGGGCCTCTTTGGGTCTCCCTTTTCTCCTCTGCAAAACAGAATGAAGAAATAGGGTGCTGTGAGATTCAGTGAGCCAAGGTGTAGCGATGGTAACAGGGCCTGGAAGTTGGTGGGCACTCTGCCAGGGCTTAATTACTGTGTACTTGTCAGACCGACCTGGGCTGGACTCCTGCTCTGCCACTCAGTTTGGCTGTTCGCATGTCATTTAGCTGCCTCAGCCTTGGTTTCCACTTCTGCAAGATGGTGTGGCCATTTATTCATTCATCGGGTTCAGACTGAGAGTCTCTTCTAACCCTGATCTGGGGCGCAGGCTCACCATCCCGTGGGGGAAATGGAATAGAATAAATAGCGATTCTGTCAGCTGCTGCTGTGTTCCTCCTGTGGACGTAATGAAGCTGGAAGGGGGAAAGAGTGCTGCAGAGGGAGATGCTGTTGCCAGCCAGGTGGTTGGGTTGGAGAAAACGCCATTCAGCAAGACCTCAAGGGGGAGAGGAAGGAGCCATGAGGGTGTAGAGCAAGAGTATTCGAGGCAGAGGCACAGCTAGTGCAAAGGCCCTGAGGTAGCAGAATGACATTGTGTCATAAGATGCCCCAGTGGCTGCAGTCAAATAACGGGCAGTGCAGAAGGAAATTGGAATGGAGACCTCATGTGTTTAACACAAAGCTTTGTATAGGATTTGACCTCAGAAGAGAGTAGCTGTGATCATTATGGTTGTTATTATTTGGATGGAGGATGGATGGATGGATGGCAGAGCCCGTACCTGACAGCCCATCTGACATTAAAATCAGGGCTCTGTCATGGTGACCTGTCCCCACTGTAGTAGGAGCAGGCAGGGAGAGTTCCTGCATAATGAATGAGCTCCCTACCCTCTTCTCCTGTAGCCTCGAAGCGGAGGATCCCAGTGTCCCAGCCGGGCATGACAGACCCACACCAGCTTTTCGATGACACGAGCTCGGCACACAGCCGGGGCTACGGGGCCCAGCAGGCAGCCAGTGGCCTGGGCTACCCCGCCACCTCTACCTCACCCCAGGCAGCCTTCCTGGCAGATCCCGTGTCCAACATGGCCATGGCCTATGGGAGCAGCCTGGCTGCACAGGGCAAGGAGCTGGTGGACAAGAACGTGAGTGGCCGGGGTCTGGTGGGAGTGGGGGGCAGCGGAGGCCACAGGGGCTCAGGCTTGAGCTCTCTGCTTCCCAGATCGACCGCTTCATCCCTGTCTCCAAGCTCAAGTATTATTTTGCCGTGGACACCGTGTATGTGGGCAAAAAGCTGGGCCTGCTCGTCTTCCCCTACCTGCACCAGGTGAGTGCACCGCCGAGAGCTGGGCCGCAGCTGGCCTGTGAGCAGGCAGCGGGTGCCTGCCGTCGGGTCCTGCCCACTCCTTTCTCCACAGGACTGGGAAGTGCAGTACCAGCAGGACACCCCGGTGGCCCCCCGCTTTGACGTCAATGCTCCAGACCTCTACATTCCAGGTCACGCCCTGCCCGCCGCCCCACAGCTTCCTCCCTCTGGTGGGCATGTGGTGCTTCCTCCTCTGTCTGACCAGTGTCTGTGACTGCCTCCTACAGCAATGGCTTTCATCACCTACATCTTGGTGGCCGGCCTTGCACTGGGGACCCAGGACAGGTAAGGGAGGTCCAAGGTGGGGTGGGGTGAAGTGGGGTCAGTGGGCCAAGGAGCCATCAAGGAGGTTCCAGTTCTCCTGTTAGAACAGCCCCGCCTTGCTCCCAGTGGACTCGAGACTGAGCTCTCCCTGTCACTCTGGCACGTGACTATCTCTTCTCTTTCTCCCACCCTTGTGCAGCCTCGCATCCCGTGTGACGGGTGACCCTCCAATCTGTCCTTCCTCCTGGCTTCCAGCCCCAGACCCGCCTCTTCTTCATTCTGATCTAAACGAGCTGTGTGTGTGTGTGTGTGTGTGTGTGTGTGTCCCTGTCCTCACTCCAGAAGCAGCAGAAAACTTTGAGAGTGGGCCCTGGCCACACCCCACCCTGCCCTGCCTGGCTGCCCTTACCCCTGTGATGCCCCATCACCCTGTTCCCTCCCCCTCTGCACCGTCTCCCCAGGGCCTTTGCACTTCCGCTCTCTTGGCTCAGGAGTATGTCCTCCCCTGCACCACCCACCTGCACCTGCTCGTCTGCCACATCTCTCATCCAGAGTAACTTCCTTGCCCCAGCCTGGGCCAAGCCCATGCCTTTCCCTCTTCCTTTCCTCTTTGGCACTGAAAACAACTGTTGATTCACTGTTGAAGCCCTGGGCATAGGGCAGAGACAGAGGCCTTCCTCCCGGCCCAGCTGCTTACTCCTTCTGGCCCCAGCTTACTCTCTGTCTTCTGAGAAGCCCCCTCTGTCACTCTCTCCTGGCTGCATCGGGCACAGCCCCCTGCAGTCCCCTCAGCCCAGTCCTGACTCTGCTGGCCACCACTGTGTGGAGACAAGTCTGCCTCCTCCCCGGAGTGACATTTCCACGAGGACAGGCCCAGATCCATCTTGGTCACCACTGGTTCCAGCCCCACCTCACACCCACACAGAGCTGTCCCCAGGTGACGCTCAGGGACATCCTGAGCTGCAGCTGCTTGACTGAACTCGGTGCCCACAGGTTCTCCCCAGACCTCCTGGGGCTGCAAGCAAGCTCGGCACTGGTCTGGCTGGCCCTGGAGGTGGTGGCCATCCTGCTCAGCCTCTACCTGGTCACTGTCAACACCGACCTCACCACCATCGACCTGGTGGCCTTTGTAGGCTATAAATATGTCGGGTGAGTACTTTTCACCCTGCTTGGCACCCCCGGCCTGCAGGCCCCTTCCGCGCCCCAGCCTCCTCTCTCTCCCTCCAGCATGATTGTTGGCGTACTCATGGGCCTGCTCTTCGGGAAGACGGGCTACTACTTGGTGCTGGGCTGGTGCTGCGTCTCCATCTTTGTGTTCATGGTGAGCTGGGGCTCAGTGTGTGTGGGGCTGGGGTCCCTGGGGTCTCCATGCAGATGTCAGGGAAGGGATTTAGATCAGAGCCACACTGAACTGAGCAGGGCAGGAGGGCTTCCTGGAAGAGAGAGCATCCAACCCAAGGCTGGAAGAAAAGCAGCACCCAACCGGCTGCAGGGGGTTGGGGTTGGGTTACCCAGGGAGCCGGCTCTTGGCTGGGCTCTTACCCTTGCTGCACTCCCCTTATGTGGTAGCTTCTGGCCAGAATGTCCCTGGAAGGAGATTCTAGGAGCCCTTCCCGCTGGAGTTGGGGGCTATTTAAGGGCAGTGGAGCCTAGTGGGCGTGGGTTGACCCCAGGCTTCACTGGAATCGGGGCAGGTTACTTCCCCTGTCCAAACCTCAGTTTCCCCTTTTGTTTAATGCGATGACGAGTGCGCCTTGGTACTGGGAGGATTCGTTTTGAGCATGAGGAAAAACAGTGCAAATGTGATGGCCGGTGGCTAAATCTGACCCATGGGCAAACTTTGACTTGAGAGCATTATTTATAATTTTTTTTTTGTATTGGTACCCGGGATCAAACTCAGGACCTTGCACTTGCAAGCCAGGCGGCAGAACCACTGAGCTAAATCCCTGGCTCCGTTTTGTTTTGAGACAAGGTTTTGCTATTGTAGCTCAGGATGGCCTTGAACTCACTATATAGTCTAGGCTGGCCTTGAACTTGTGATCTTCCTGCCTCAGCCTTCTGATTGCTGGGATTACAGATGTGTGCCACAGGATGTCTGGCTATAAGCTTTTAAAAAGAAATTGGAGGCCGGGCATAGTGGCCCACGCCTGTAATCCCAGCACTTGGGAGGCTGAGGCAGGAGGATGGATCACTGAGAGTTGGAGACCAGCCTGGGGTACATAGTAAGTTCCAGGTCAGTCTCAACTACATAGTGAGACCCTGTCTCAAAAAAAGAAAGAAAGAAAGAAATTAAATTGGAAGTGTTTTAGAAAATAACCTTGTCTTGAAAAATTGTCATCTGGGGCCAGGTGTGGTGGTACATGCCTGGAATCCTAGCGCTGTGGGAGGCTGAGGTAGGAAGATCACAAGTTTGGGTCCAGCCTGGGCAATTTAGCAACTTGGTGAGACCCTGTCTGAAGTTAAAAAAAAAAACAAAACTAAAAAGGTCTGGGCATGTAGCTCAGTTGGAAGCCCCTGGGTTCAATCCCCGTAAGGCAAAAAAGAAGATTGTCATGCAGTATTCTGGGGGTGTAGCTTGGTGGTAGAGCAGTTGCCCGACCTGGTTTCATCTCCAGCACGGAAAGCAAACAGATGTGTCTTGGCCAAGATGAGAGGTGGGCAGCAGCGGACTGGCTCCCCACCCGCTCGGGCAGGGCACCCACAGGGAGGAGCCCGGGGCTCCCTGGGCCTGGCCTGCAGACTCCCCTCAGGCTGCCGAGGGGCAGCCTGGCCCCTGGGTAGGCAGGGCAGAGGCGGCA